CCTGCATCACCAGTTAGTGATGCCCATGTAGGATGTAAACGGTATGGGATAGCATTGCACTCTATAGTCAAGTTCGATGATGTGGGTTGATCGTGTGGGAGATACTGTATTTCAGAGACAGACGTTGCAGATTTCTGTCTGCCATTGACATTCACCCACATCTTGGCTGGGTGCAGTATTTGAGAGCCACACCTTCCTACTTAAGCGCTGTTTTGTGACAGGTCAAAAAGGGCAGCTGTTTTGAAAGAATCTACGGAGGATTTTACAAGGGACCAAAAAGAGATTATTTCCATTAAAGGGGAGTCTGAGCGCTTAAGACTTCCTGGCCACGAAGAGACCGTCGGCCACAGCAGGGCCCTGGTGTCACCAGGAGTTGCCCGTGTGTTACGTTTGTGGTGTTCTGCCACCCCCTCCTCCAACAAAGATCCCCCATATAGCTTTAACAGACTAGGGGCAAGTGCTGTTAGCGAGCACCTATGAAGGCCGGAATGGTACACGAGGGGGTGGGTGGCCAGCACCACGCCCGACCCCCTTTGTCTCCCTAGTGGCAATGTTTACACACTGCACCAGGTACTCATTTGAGGCTGAGTCGACCTAGGGGAGGCCCGGGACCGGATCAGATAATCGTCACTGGTGTTGGCCGTGATTGGGAATCGAACCCGTGTCGCCGGGTTCATAGCGCAGTGCGCTTACCGCTACACTATCGCTCACCCCCCCCCCCCTCCTAACAGGAACTCCCACAGACACGCTACGCTACTGGTTCAAGCAGACATTTGAGCACGTTCTGGGACTTTCACGGCGAGATGACGCTCCCTCCATCGGTGTTCAGCTTGTGTCAGGGTAAATATTCCCATGTATGCTCCGACACGTGCATGTAAAATACATTTGGTAAACGACAACTGGTAACCGTTTTAATAATCGATTGCTGGTTCCTAAGGTCAGGAACCCGTCACTGTTTCCACTAGAACAGTGGTTCTTAACCTTGTTGGAGGTACCGAACCCCACCAGTTTCATATGCGCATTCACCGAACCCCTCTTTAGTGAAAAATAAAATGTGATTTTTTTCAAATTCAAGACGTAGATATGTTTTTTACTGGTACACAAAATGAGCCGTGCATGAACATTACCTTGTTCAAAGAATAAAACCAACACAATGCATAAACTCACAACAAATTACATACCTGGAAATCAATGTGACTTCTGCTGTTGCCTTTGAGAGATCAGTTCAGATATGCGTGGCTTCACCTTGGCAAGTGCCACTCTCATGTCATTTTCACAGCAAAGTCTGTTCCTTTTCTTCGTTTTTATGTCCAGCATCCTCGAAAAGTATTGCTCACAAAGATATGTTGTAACAAATGGTATAAAAAAATCCAGGGCTTTCTTAGCAATAACTGGATACTTGTTCATTTGTCGACACCAAAACGTTGAGAGCGTTGTTGTTCTGAAGAGTTGCTGTTGAACCTGGCTCTGCTGAATTTCAATGATTTCGTCGAGGAATTCATCATTGACATCTGCTGTTTCAACAGCAAACGTGAACGGCTGTCTCACCCATGCTGGATATGACTCTCTTGTAGGGAAATATCCGTCGAGAGACTTTGCAAGCTCATCTAAGTGCGTGGCAATTGTTTGCTTCAGTTCCGTGGATACAGAAATATCTCCGATTCCAGACACATCTTCGATCTTACTTGCACAGTCGTCCAGAAGCGGGAAGTTTGCGAAGTTATTGTTCTCTGTTCGTCGTTTCCATAACGGTAGCTTTTTTTGAAAAGCCTTCAGGTGTTCTTCCGCTTCCATGATATTGACTCCACCACCCTGCATCTGCTGATTGAGATGATTGAGAGCTGCGAATATATCAGCCATGTACGCTAAAATGAGAATGAACTCAGGATTTTTGAAGCAATCTGCATGGCAGTGTTGGTGCTCTTGCAAAAACAGGGCTAATTCCACACGCATGGCAAAAACACGATTCAGCACCTGTCCCCGGGATAACCACCGAATATTAAAATGGAGCAGAAGTACCTCAAATTCAGAGCCCATTTCTTTACACAGCTCACTGAAGATGCGGTGCCTCAGAGCACTTTTTCGCACATAGTTCACACATTCCACCACAGTTTTTAATACTTCTGCCATTTTTGGAGGTAAGGTTTTTGTTGCCAACGCATGCCTGTGCAGAATACAATGCGTCACAATGATGTGTGGTGCATCGGCCTTTACTAGCGCACCAAAACCAGACTTTCTTCCCAGCATGACTGGAGCTCCGTCCGTACAAACTGCAGAAACCATATCCCATGAAAGATTGTTGTCTCTGAAGAAGTCATCCACAAGCTTCTTCACATCGGCTGCCTTCGTTGTTGTTGTAAGAGGCTTACAAAATAAAAACTCTTCTTTTATCATGTCGTCTTTCACATAGCGTACAAAAACAGCAAGCTGGCTTAGATCAGAAACGTCTGTGGTTTCGTCGAGTTGAAGGCTGAATTTTGCCGGGCTTGAAATCAGATCCGCGACTACTTGAGCCAAGATGTCTTTACTCATGTCTTCTATTCTGTCACTGACGGTGTCATTTGAAAGGGGAATTTGGGATAATTTACCTTCGGCCGCTGTTCCGAGTATCAGATTCGCCATCTTTAATGCAGCTGGTTTCACAAGTGTTTCACCAATGGTGTGTGGCTTGCCCTGCTTTGCGATCAGGTAAGCAACTTCGTACGATGCTGTCAGGATCGGTTTGTTAACAAGTACAAATCCAAGAGCAGGCAGAGTGGCCCTTTCATCGAATCTGGCTCTCTTCACCCTGAATTCAGCAAGTGTTGTGTTCTTGTATTCCCCGTCTCCATGCAACTTCAAGAAGTGTTCCTTTAGTTTTGCCGGTGCAAGACTAGAGTTGCTCAACTTGGCGTTGCAAATCATGCAGATAGGACGCTCACTCCCATCACGTTCCGTGATACATGAGAATCCATGTTGTACATATTCGTCCGACCACTTTCTTCTTTTGCCCGACATAGTTAGTATGGATAAAATATTAAAGAAATCACACGACGTACGACAACAACAGTCACACGTTGACTACTGAGTACGCACTAAATTCCCCGCAGCACTGATTGGCCAAGCAGTGTCGCATGATCATCTGCAGCCAGTGATGGCCAAGCGGGCCGTGTGTGTCATCACAAATTTACACAATAATTCAAGTGTGTCCGGACCTCCGTGGCGGGGGCTCTGCCGAACCCCTGAGATCGACTCACCGAACCCCTGGGGTTCGATCGAACCCAGGTTAAGAACCACTGCACTAGAATGTTCGTAATGAATGTACCGATTAACACACGCAAATGTATTAACGGCACAGTCCAAGTCACAGCATGGTACAATTTCCCTCGTTTCTCTGTTAAAAGGTAAAGGTACAACCCTGCAATTGCTTGCTGATGCCAGAGGGAGTTCTAGAGGGTATTTCGTCTACTCTTCCACACTGGCCAGATGTCTTGGAAAAGGTAGGCATTCCCAAAATTTACCCCACAATACATGGCCTGCTGATCGACTGTGTGGGTGGCCAGCACTACACCCGGCCGCACCAGGTACTCATTTGAGGCTGAGTTGAGCTAGGGGAGGCCCATAACCCATTCAGATAATCGTCACTGGTGTTGGCCGTGAGCAAGATCGAACTCGGGTCGCCGCTCCCCACACACACACACACGTCCACACACACACAAAGACTCCCAGCACTAGGCTGACTCATTAAATCTCGCGGAGGATCGCTCGGCTAAACAACATAATTCAGCGGTTCAGTTTGCTAGTGCAAGTTCGCGTTTTAAGTCGATGTAAAAAAAATGTTTCAGAGAAGTTGGTGTTCGTAAGTCGGTTGTTCTTAAGTCCAGGACTGCCTGTATTTGGTATTCATTCTATTTTTTCTCGCATTGGCTTGACATTTACTGTATGCGGTCTATGGCAGAAAAAGGACATGATTGGAGACCAAGGCTGCAGTCAAGTTGAAGCGAAATATAAGCAAAACAAAAGACACGTCCGACAGTCACTAATAGAAAAAATAATTATTAGAGGGATGCTACTGGAAACACTATAAAACATGTACACTTAGAGCAATTCATAAAGGCAGATTGTAACCAAAAGATGAAATAAAGAGGTGAATGTGAGCAAGATGGAGAGCCTATGGAAAACCGATTTTGGTAATGAAAATTAACAAACCATTGTGCTTAATGAAGAAGTTTTCAATGAGTACACATTACCTGCTATGACAAACGGATCAGATACACGGACACTGACAAAGAAAATACCAAGTGTGAAAAGTACATAAAGAAGCATGCAGAGATTTATGTTGGGAATTGCACTGAAATACAGAAAGGGAATGCGTAAGTCAGTGATCAATGTAAAATAAGGACGTCATATTGACGGTTAAGGAATGTAAGGGCGTGAGGTGGCTGGGTGGATCAGAGGTCAGTGGTGAGCCGATGCTGCTGAGAGCCTGGGTAGCAGTTAATCTGCACATTTCCATGTAATTAATCTGGATTCTCACATATAGTAAGTTGATGGTCTTGGCCCAGTCAACAATGCTGCAGAAAAAATATCGTATATAATTCTGTTTTGTGCTTCATTTGGTGGGTGGGAGAGTGTTGCCCCCCTCGTGTGGGCAAAAAGGTCACTTAGAGGGATCTCAATGATTATGTTATATTTTCTTCCACAGATCTTTCTCTGACACGGGGAGGGGGGTGGAGGGAGCTCCGAAGGGATGATTTATCTCACATCATGACAAAAGTACAGTGAGGATACAATTGTAGTGAGTCCAACTGAGTTGCAGACGTTGTCTTGGGAGCAATACTACTTATTTCACCAACTCAACACAACACAACATAACGTAACCTAGACTTGGGTGTTGAACGCCCACACTATGGCAGAACTAGACACAGTTCGCTATCCCGGCCCAGACCACAAGCTGGGTCCCGGACCGCGTGGCTAGAGGCTTCTTCAACCCAACGTGGATCTTCTTCACCAACAACCCGAAGAACCCCGAGCCTCTCACGGGGCCCCCCGTTATATCGGCCTGGGCTGAGGCTGGCTCCACCCCTCACCCTGCCCACCTTCTAGATCTCTCGAGCTCTTTCCCGAGGGCTCCCTAGAGCTCCTTTATACCACGTGACCGCCCAGCTGCCCCCGTCCGCCGGTGGCCCCCCTCCAGTATCATCCGGTCACGTTTCGGCAGGTCAACCAGCGTATTATGCCCCAACGTAACCCTGGCTGGCTGACACTCCCTCTCGCTCCCTCACCGGGAGCCTGCACCGCACACTGTACGTGGTGCCTCTGCGCTAACCAGCGCTCACCCAAGCCCTACTAGGGCTGGTTCTACGCCCAGTAAGCGGGCTGCACATAATGACATCCGCCGTGGCTTCGCAAGCCTGGCACCACACAGTGACATTCACAGTCACTACAAAATGGAGAAAAGCGACAAAAAAATAGAAAAGGAAAATAAGTGTTCTTGGACAGCACACATCGCTATCAGGTATGGCTGATGGATGAAACTGGTGACAATAGCAGCCAAAGGAGAGAACGTGCCCAAGAGGATGACCACCATAGAGATAGAGTGGTGAGATCAGTTGAACTGCAGGATTGATATGAAATTTGGCATCCCAAGTCCACGGGGGTCTTATCTTATACCGTTTCATACAGAGCCTTTCAAGGCACTTTAAAATAGTTGTAACATTGTTCGTGAGATGATGGTTAAAATAAGGAGTGGGATTATTAAAAGTGGTTGTGTAAATTTATTGATTTAAAGCTTTCGTGACTGCAGGGATTCATCTTCTTGGTTCTTTCGGTAAAGTCACGTAGAATGGAAAAAAAAGCAATAAAAAAGTGGTTGTGTAGTTATGGTGACAGGAGGACGGGTGGTAGTGGTTAAGGAGGGGTAGGGGTAGTGATAGGAGTAAGGGTTGTGAGAGCGGCTGGGGTAGGCCTGGTCGTAGCTGGGGGGCAGGGGCAAGGAGTAGCAGTAGCAGAAGGATGGGCAATGGAGAAGAGATGGGTTTTAAGGGAGGAACGGAAGCAGGTTAGTAAAGAATAGGCATGGGGAGGCCTTGATCCAGCAGTGGTCTGGCCATGGGTGCTGAGGATAAATAGCAAGCACAGGCCTTGATAATAGTGTTTTCCTATTGTCTCCTCAACTCCCAGTTTGTTCAGGAAACAGTTTCAACTCTTGATCTTCTGAGCTACTTTGGAGAGGTGGTATTTTTCTGTGAGCATATGGTCTAGGCTGACCCGTAGAAACACTAGCTTTTGATAATTTTAACCGCAATCATATCTCAATACACTTTAGTTTAACCAAAGGGTTTTTTATAGGATGCACAATACGAACACAGCTTCATTGTAATCCGTAGTTTGTTGAGAAGGTTGTGGAGGTCCATTTGTCTGATTACTATGCAATCCACACCAACACCCAAGTTAGTATTTTGCTGACCCACCCATACTGGGCATCTGTGAAAAAGAGCTTCATACCTCATCAGATTTCTCCTGCAGTCTAAAGATTCTGATTCTGAAGTATTATTAAAGATTATTAATGTTGCTTGTTTACCAAGGAATCCTGAGTCACAATACTTTTTCTGGAGGGACCTGCTAAGTTTTTGCAGTAGGGGACGATGTTTTTTCCTGTAATCCCAGTTAGATCGGATGTGTTTTTTATTATGGGAGGATACCAGAGAACCTGGAGGACACCGATGAAGAACAGGGGTTACTTACTCTACACACAAAGGCACCCAAGTAATGAATTGATCCAAAGCACACCTTGCTGTGAGGCCCAAGTGTTACCACTGTGCCTTCCTGCTGCCCTAGGATGAAGCTAATACGATGTGCCCGGTAGGTGCGAGTGTTTGTGTGAAGTGGTCTCTTTTGTTTTCAGATACGAAGTGTTCAGGGAGCCTCCAGTGGAGCACCCCCCTTTCTGGGCTGACTTGGTGATTGGGTTCCGCGCAATGACCGATCAGGAACTGTCTGGGTTTCCTGGGCACACCTTCGGCTGGTTCTTCACCACGCTGCAGTGCGAGAGCTCCTTTTACCTGCCCTGGCTGATGAAGAAGTAAGCAGCCCACTTGGCGCTACCACACACGGTTAACACACGCACTTGCGCTACCACACTTGGTTAACACACGCACTTGCGCGACCAGCACCGATGCACTGAATGTCACTATTTGGCAGCCACACAACATAACAAAAATCCAGATTTTTTTTCTGCTCTGGAAAGTTTCTTGTGATAAAAATTTGTGTTAATAAAAAATAAAATATTCAGTAGCCTGAAACCAAAAACCAATTAAAAAAAAATGACAAAAAATATTATTTCATGCATTTTAATTACTTTGGCAAGTCAAAAGCCCATGTAAATTCACACCTAAACATCCCACAGTGTTAAAACACACGATGTAATCCAACCATGTAGCTGGTAAAGTCATTAAATTAATTTTTGAATGGAGGGCACAGTGGCATTGATATAGCTTTCACTGTTGCTTGGATCACCCTCAATACAAATGCAAGTGATGGCTGCTCACCATTAAAGACTAAATATGGTCAATCACAGTGAAGCTTAACTGGGAAAGAGCTGTGATGAATGATTTGTAAGAAAAGTGAGGAATATTCTTCCTCCACTGGAATTCTGGTCTCAGAGATAACGGGGTGTGTTTTGCTATAGAATATGATTGTGCGTCTAAATGCGTCTCTGCCTCAAGACGCTGTACATGGATGGAGGGGTAGAATGTATTTAGATGGTGTAGGAGGATTAAAGGGGTAGGGACAGGGGAATGGGGAGGATTATTTACTTATGAACATACAAATAATTTCTAAAAGTAAGGGAGTTGGGGCATTGGAAGAAATAAACATTTAATGCTGTATAGCCTCTCGTGAAATCTAATCGGCTGCCTTAAATCTTATTTGAACAGGCCAGGGCAGGTGGGATCACCTCAAATGGAAAATAACAATCGTCCAAATACGACTGTACTGCTCCACAACAGTGGAACGCATTGTTAACTCGTACCCACTTGCGTGCCTTCTTCGAGGGCATAAGTGGTGGGAATTCACTCGTGCCTGGGTACCAACAGCTGCATTACAACCTAGACAACGAGTTATGGTTACTACTCAATATCTATACAAAGGAGGGACAAGCAGTGAAATCTAAGATTGTGAGAAAAGTCAGCTGCAAGCAGAGATGAAGAGGAAAGTCTTTTAACAGTACACATGTCCAGGTAGAGGAAATTTGAGACCCAGGGGCAGCAGAGGAGAAGAAGTAACCACGTCTCATGGAACGAGGCTAACCAGAGGCATTGTAAGAGAAAGTCGCTGGGAGGGGAAAGAAGAGATAAGATGGGAGAGGTCGGTGGTAACAAGCCAATGCAATTGAAAATGTCTTCAGTAATTATTTACATTGTAAATGTATTACCAGTTTGGTAGAAAACACATATATTACAAATATTACTTAAATGGTACATTTTGTTTGAACATGTAATGAAATACTCATAAATATGCTTATACACTGGACTATTTTTAATCCACCCAAATCAGATATTGTACCTGCATTTGTCCAGAATGTATATGGTTTGTGTGCCAGGTGGCTCAGTGGAAGAACAAGTGGCTTGCAAATGGAACATTGCAAGTGTCGATAAAATGAGTACCACTTTGTGGGGGAAGCCAACATTAGTTGTCCTATGAATACTCACTCCCCATCATAGGAATGTGGAATTTTTACCACTCGCTCAGGGCTGTAAGCAGATGGACACCACCTCAATGCTCATTTAAGCATGACATCACTTGTACTTTTTCTTTAGGCTGCAGTCGGCAAATGTAGAGCTAAAGAAGACGCATGTGGAAAATATATGGCATCTTCATGGTCAGTATGATGTGGTTGTCAACTGCACAGGCCTGGGCTCCCACGCATTATTTGGAGACAATGAAGTGTATCCGGTGCGTGGGCAAGTGATAATGGTGCGCGCTCCCTGGCTAAAGCACTTTGTGCGTGCAGGGGATGGGCACACTTACATATATCCGGGGGTGCGTGACGTGACACTTGGCGGCACGCGTCAGAGTCACTGGGGTATGCTGCTGCCCATAGCGGAAGATTCCCTGGGCATATGGGAGCGGTGTTGCGCCCTAGTGCCATCCCTAAAGAGATCGCGGCGACTTGCCGAGCGAGTCGGGCTGCGGCCAAGCCGGGCCTCGATCCGCCTGGAGAGGGAATGCCTGGCGTGTGGGGCACTGCACATGACGGTGGTGCACTGCTATGGACACGGGGGAGTCGGGGTGACGCTGCACTGGGGCTGCGCCAGAGAAGTGGCAGCGCTCGTCTGTGACAGCCTCCGAGGCCACGTCGCGAGCGCTAAGCTGTGAGCAAGTTGTTGCACGATATGCTTACGCGAACTAATTTACAAAGCGATAGAGATATCGCTTGCATTGTTAAGGTCTAATAATGGATTAAATTACTTTCAATTATTTTTGTACACCAGTTTAACGATAATAATAGAGCCACTTTCAAACGTCGCATCAGTATGCGTGTAAAGTAGCAAATTTAAGACAAAGGTGTGTATGCATTGAGAATATTCCATGCTGCTGTGACACTGCAGGCGTGCACCCATCCACGGCGCATACTCGGGGCTGCCCCTTCCTAGGTCCAGCAGCTAAAGCAGGTTGTTTGTCAGCCATGCCAGGGGCAGCCGAGCCTTTTTGTCACTATTAAGGGAGAGTGCAGTGATTTGTGGGCCAGTCACCTTTACATTTTTTTTATTTATAATGCTTAATTATCTAGCTTATATCGGATTGGTTGTTCCTTCGATGTCATGACACCTATTGGAAAATTTGATTGTGATAATAATTGTTCAACTTATCACTGAGCTGAAACACTAATTCGCCCGTATAACGAGTGTACAAATTACAATATGATTGGTTTTGGCTGCATCAGGTGGTGGAGGGTCTTAATGACACAATTTTGGTCGGTCACGCAGTGTTTACCTTCGCCAGGTTATTACATTTGTTTTGCTGCTAACGTGTATTAATTGTAATTTAATGCAAAGTTTAAAAAAATAGATACTTAATGATGAAAATTGTATGAATAAAACTAATATAATTTGACACGTGCATCCTTGGTGTAATATGTAATTATTCACTTTTCCATAATTTCATAAATGCCGTGTTGTGGATGCTATTTTACTTCATGATTAATCTTTCCTTCAAGCATCTGTTTCAAGTCTGCCAGAATCTTTCATGACTATCAAGGCTTGGATGTAATCCAGTTTTCTTCAGTTGAATTTTGACGGAGTCGTTTATTGCTGGGTCCACACACCAGCTTTCTAAGACTGATTCAGTCTTTGTGACAATTGATGGCCACAATATTGGTGCTACTCAGGCAGTTCACAGTCACAGTGTTGTCCTTAATGCCTCTGAAACACACATTAACACCTAATTAGCTCACAGTGACGACACCACATTTACCCCCACTATTTAAGACCGAAATCGGAGGATTTCTTCACAATTCTGGCTGTCGCCTGATGAGACTGGTTGTAATTATCGGCTAAATGTCGTACTCTAATAAAAAATGTAGGTTTAGCCCCCAACACACCGGTGTGCTGAACTATTAACTAATTGGCATGTTGTGTTTACGTGACAAACTTTATTAATTGGCTTGTCCAGTGGTGGTGGGCTTAATGACACATTTATATTTATGTGATTTAACCCCAAAAAAACGTCCTATGGACGATCACTATGACTTCGTTTTTTCATCTGAAAAATATAGCCCAGCTGCATCCTTTCACTATCGGACACTTGAGAAGCTGGTTCATGCGTTTGTTTTCTCTCGTATTGACTTTTGTAATTCTGTATTCGCTGGCGTCCTCCTTTAACTGTCGTCTACAACACTTGCAGAACGCGGATGCCAGAATTCCTACGCACAGCACGCCTGTTGCTGAACACACTACCCCTGCACTGGCATCTCTCCATTGGCTGCTGGTCCGGTTTCAAGTAGAGTTCAAGATTCTTCTCACCTACCAGGCTCTCAATCATGCTGCTCCCTCATATATACAGGACCTCCTTTGCCTAAAATGTTCCAACAAGAGCACTGCGGTTTTCAGAGTCTGGCTGATGTGTGTGTGTGTGTGTGCCGAGGTCACGTCTGGAGGACGATGGGTTACCAGGCCTTTTCTCGTGTGGCCCCCAGGCTGTGGAATTCACTTCCACTGGACGTTTGCTCTGCTGCCTCCCTAATTTTATTAAAACTTATTCCTTAGGCCTTTTCCATTTCTTGATTTTTTATTTTGGCGTTTTATTTTTTTGCTGTGAGCCTGCATGTGTGTGTGTTTTATACAGCGCCTTGTGATCGTCAGGTGAAAGGCACTTTAGAAGTGTACATTATTTGTATATCTTATTCCTACACCTATTTGTAGCATCACGTTAAACGTAGCTCATTAAATTGCACAAAATGTGTTTTGTAAGGTTTCTATGTTACCACCCATTATGTCCAGTGAAGACCAATTTTAGCCCATTGAAATCTTGTCATTTTATTTATACTACATTTTGCATAAAAAATATAAAACTAAATCTTAAAAGTTAACACCGCCAAAACCACTGCAAATCACAAGCCAATTCTGGAACGCACAATATGATGCTTCAGTACTAAACGGGGTGCCACAACCATCAAACTGAAAAATATGCAAGAAAGTGTAGACCTGACATTACACCAATATCTACTCGACCCTCCACAAACTCGTCTAAGATCCAGGAAATCAATCTGGGAAAGCACGAGATGACGCAGGGTCAACTGAGGACCACTGGTTCTGCGTAGGTGCATATTATAAGCCTCATCAAAGAACCCCACCATTGCTCTGTATGGCTTTGATCTGCCAAGAAAACTATGGTGCTCCGTCAACTGCTTACGAACAACAGGTCGCACACCTCTTCTATCAGTGTAAAATTATAGGTGCCCCACAAATTGGGGTCACCAGAACCACGATGATAGGAGATGTATTTCCTGCCACCAATGTGATTGGTGGTATTAAGAACGATGGGCAGATTCAACCTGTTGCAGTCGGCATATAAGACGTTCCACAGTACTGAGACAGCTCTGCTAAAGATCACTGGTAACCTCTACAAGATCATGGATGACCGGTGTGCAGCAGCATTGGTTGGCCTCAACCTCTCAGCTGCCTTTGACACCATCGACCATGAGATACTCATCGCTCAGCTAAGGTTACGGTACGGTGTATGAGGTATGGCACTGGGGTCAATAAGTTCACGCTAGGTGACAAACATCACCTGTGCCGTGCCTAGTTGGCATACCACAGGGGTCCATCCTCAGGCCTCCCTATTTTCAACATACGCCTCTTCGATTGCGATGTCATCTTATCGCATGACATTAATTTCCATCAATTTCCTGATGACAAAATGATACACTGCAGGGAAGTCAAAATTGCATATCGAGAGCCTCGGTAACATCGAAGATTGCACGAGAGTTTTGCATGTGTAGTGGGTCCAAGGAGAGTAGAGACAGTTCGTAGAGGCAACACGTTTATTACAATAATAACAGTAACGATCCCTAACACAAAGGGGTTGCAGCCCCTCCACCCGATACCTGTGGAGGAATAGCCTCCGGCTAGCGTGTCCATTCAACTGGGACTACGTACTCTCAGCCCTCCGGCTAAAGGGGTCCTAGAGGAGGCTAGCTGACCCAACCCAGCCAAGGACCTCGGGTCCCAGACAAGGACCTCGGGTCCCAACCACTGGCCCACTAGGTCCCGGCCCTTAGAAGGACGTCGGGTCCCGGAGGTTCCCAGGGTCCGACCACTGGCCCACTCAGTCCCCGCCCTTAGAAGAACGTCGGGTCCGGGGGTTCCCAGGGTCCTAGCCTAAGCAGTCTTCAGCTTGACGATGACTGCCGAACCCGTCCAGGGGTCCGGATTTATACCTGTTCCAGAATCTCTCCGCCCCTAGCCACTCCTTCCTTCTGGAACTCTCTAGGGGGCTCTGGAATATCCCCCCCAGCCCCCCTCTTGGGGTCTGGGGAGCCCTATTGGCCCAACGGCCCAATTCATCTTACCCATTCAATGTACACCCCCTATTGACACGTGTCCGATACTACAGGTAAGGATGGATGGGAAATGTACACAGTGCCCAACCATGCTGCTACACATGAAATGGAATTCTGGTTAATTCAGATAAATCGGAGGTTCTGCTGGTTGGAACTCGGGCTCAAGGAAAAACATTTGTGGGAGAATCAGGTGTGGTGGTCGAAGTCTCGAGGATTCAGTTTTCTATTAATCTAAAGAACATAGGCACCAAACTCGACCAGAATATATCACTTGGATCACCACGTGCAAAATATAGTCCGGTCCTGCAATTTTTATATCAGGCCTCTCCGGCACACGACAACTATTGAGTCGTGACAAAGCCAACACGGTGGCGTGTAGTATTGATAAGGCTCGATTATTTCAACTCACTACGGGACGTCTGGAAAAAAAACATTACCAAGCTGCAGCACGTGTCATGATGGGTACTGCAAGATCTGACTATGTCTGTCCAGTCCTCAGCGTGCTGCATTGGTTTCCGGTTATAAGGTCGCACTCATTACACAAAGTGCATGCCACAAATGAACCACAATACGTTGCTGATCTGAAAGAGCATAGACTATCATGTGAAATCTGGTCATCCTCGCAGCAGCTTTTGACTGGCCATCGAACAAAGACGGTCACTGCATCACGCGCTTTCAGATGCGCTTCTGCATGCCGTCTGGAATGCTCTTCCTTCCGATATTGGGAAGCCAATGGAGCTTTGCACTTTTAAATTTAGATTGAAAATTAATTTCTTTAAAACTGCTTTTTGTGTCCTGATGTCCTTCCCCCACACCACCGATTAGCATGGTTGGCTTCGTATGATGCAAAATAGGTTCAACATATATCTCCTTAGTTACTCCCGGTCAAGTGGGCGCAGGGTTTGACGTCAGCGTGCAGGGGGTAGGGAATGCGGATGTTGTGGGGACCGTTAAATGAGCTTTCTTCATTTAACTTTCCCAATCACTTCTTCACTGACGACACGCAGATTTAATTTTCCTTTCCCTCCTTTACCGCTCACCTTTCCTCCTGCATTTCCGACTGCTTAACGATTGTCCAATCTTGGATGACAAACCACTACCTACCTTTCCATCAATCTTTCTAAAAATGAAATCCTTTTGTTCCCCTCTCACCCCCCCCCCCCCCCCCTGTCCTACCATATCACACTCTACCTTCTCCCTCCATCTCTTCTGCTCACAAACTCGGAGTCATCATCATCTCCCCCCTCTCCAACCACATCTGTCACTATCCGCAATTGTCGCTTTCACCTATTCAATATTCGCAACCCCCCCAACTCATCTCACTATCTGCTGCTAAACTCCTGGTTCACTTATTTTCTCTCACCATGACGATTGCAATTCCTCTACAACAGATACTAAATGCCTCAGTCGTGATCATTTTTGACCTTCCCCACACTTCTGTTCTACTTTCCCAACTCCACTGGCTTCCTGTCTACTGTCACTGTCTTTTTAAATGTCTCACTTTCATCCACAAATCCAACTATGGCCTTGCCCCACCTTAACTCGCTTCTCTCATATCTTACTACGATGTCCCATTCCGTCCTTTACGCTCCAAATCTCTGCTGTCCCTCTCTACGTGTCCCTCGCCAATCATGCTTTAATTCATACTCTTTGGTTATATTGGGTAAAGTCACGTAGGTAAAAAATAAAATAACAAAAATCACGACGTTTCGGCCACAACACAAGCGGCCTTCATCAGGTGAAGGGACGAGACTGTCTGGAGGACGGCGTTGTATGGATCCTAGCAGTCACGAAAGCTTTAAATCTAGAAATGCTTTAATTCCTTTTCCCTTCTTGCTCCCCTTCACTGAAACCAACTCCTACTGCACATTAAACAATCATCTTCACTGTAGCCTGCTTCCGTTCCTCCCTTAAAACCCATCTCTTCTCCCGAGCCCATCCCACTCCCCCAACTCCTATCACTACCCCAACCTCTATCACTACCCCAACCCCTGTCACTACCCCAACCCCTGTCACTACCCCAACCCCTACCACTACCCCAACCCCTATCACTACCCAACCCCTATCACTACCCCAACCTCTATCACTACCCCAGCCCCTATCACTACCCCAACCCCTGTCACTACCCCTATCACTACCCCAATCCCTATCACTACCCAACCCCTATCACTACCCCAACCCCTATCACTACCCCAACCCCTATCACTACCCCAACCTCTATCACTAACCCAACCCCTGTCACTACCCCTATCACTACCCCAACCCCTATCACTACCCAACCCCTATCACTACCCCAATCCCTATCACTACCCCAATCCCTATCACTACCCCAACCCCTGTCACTACCCCAACCCCTATCACTACCCCAACCCCTATCACTACCCAAACCTCTATCACTACCCCAACCCCTGTCATTACCTCAACCCCTATCACTACCCCAACCCCTATCAATACAATCTGGAGGGAGGGGCGATTTCTCCCCCCTGTATGACATTTTCCGACGCACAAAGAATTTTAAGGTTTTTAAAGTTGACATTTATTTCATCATAGTTTTTGATACCGTACCACTCGCAGTTAGGATTTTGTCTGTGACTCCCGGTATCTGCTTTTTATTTTCATGAGGATATGATGCTCTCTTGAGCGTATGCATATTATTATCACGTGCTGCAGGAAGACAAAGATGGCCGGGAGTCTCTCTCTTTCCCTGGCCCTTGGTTTAACATCGCTCAAATATCATTTGGTTTTATGTTCAACAAGGTTGTGACTCACCCCGTTATCCTGGCCCTTCCTCAGTTTTTATTAATTTCGTCATTCCGTGTGTATGTTTATCATTTATATAATTTTATTTCTGATATCTTGAGTTGAGGTATGTTTCTTGATCCTGGGAATTCGTATTCCTTGGTGTTTGCAAGGTTATATAAACAGAATATAGTTTACAGTGAATAACGTTAACATTAATGTTATGTATGAAACTATGTATATTGTGACCGGGCTTCACTGTTAATTACTTGTCCGCTCGGCTTCGCTGACTGGAAGCTGCCGGAGAAATCCCTTTGATCTCGCTCTGGTGTTAAATTCCTTTCTCTCCCGCGCTGCGGGAAGACAAAGACGGCCGGGAGTCTCTCTCTCTCTGGCTGCTCTCGGTTTAACCCTCATCATTATCATTTTTGGTTTATGTTTCCCGAGATTATTCCTATAATTTCAGCTTA